TTTCCATTATAAAAAAAATTTTCTAAATCATATATCTAATAAGGGTACAGCATCTAGAATAAATGAAGAACTCTTATAACTCATCAACAAGAAGTCAAGGAACTCGATTAAAAATAGCCAAAAGGCTGGGTGCGGTGGCTCACACTGGTAATCCCAGGATGTTGGGAGGCCAAGGCTGCTGGATCACTTGAGGTTAGAAGTTCGAGGCCAGCCTAGCCAACCTGATGAAACCCACCTCTACTAAAAATACAATAATTAGCAGGGCACAGTGGCAGGTGCATGTCATCCCAGGTACTTGGGAGGCTGAGGCAGGAGAATCGATTGAATCCAAGAGGCAGAGGTTACGATGAGCTGAGGTCATGCCACTGCACTCTAACCTGGGTGACAGAACAAGTCTCTGTCTCAAAAAAGCATGGGGTGGGAGTGGCAAAAGACAAGCTTTTCTCCAAAGAAATACACAGACAACAAGCACACAAAAAGCTACTTCAGGTCATTAATCATTACAGAGATGTAAGTGAAAACCACAAGGATGTACCACCTCACACCCAGTAGAATGATGTGTTAGCTTACCAAACAAATAAAAAAACAAAGAAAAGTAAGTATTAATAAGAATGTGGAGAAACGAACCCTCAAACATTGCTGGTGGGAATATAAAATGGTACAGCCATTTTATGTTTGAAAGAATTTGGCAGTTTCTCAAAAAGTTAAACATAAAATTGCCATATGACCCTGTAATTCTACTACTAGGTGTATACCCAAATATGTGAAAACAGGTACTCAAACAGGTACTTGTACAGCAATATCGATAGCAACATTATACACAGTAGCCAAAAAGCAGAAATAGCTCAAATGTCCATCAATGGATAGACAAATTGTAGTGTACAGATGATCCTCAACTCATACTGGGGTTATATCCTGATAAACTCATTGTAAGTTGAATGTATCCTAAGTTGAGAATGTATTTAATACACTTAACCAATCAAACATCATAGCTTAGTCTAGCCTATCTTAAATGTGCTCAGAACACTCACATTGGCCTCAGTTGGGCAAAATCATCTAACGCAAAGCCTAGCTTATACTAAAACACTGAATATCTCATGTAATTATTGAATACCATACTGAAAGTGAAAACCAGAATGGCTGTACAGGTACGCAAAGTACAGTTTCTACTGATTGCACTATTATTTTTGCATCATCATAAAGTTGAAAAATCTTAAGTTGACCCATTATAAATCAGTGATCACTTATATACACACGGTGGAATATTATTTGGCTATAAAGAGAATGAAGTACTGATATATGCTACAACTTGGATGAATATACAAAACAGTATGTTAAGTGAAAGAGGCCAGATATAAAAGGTCACATATCATATGATTCTATTTATATAAAATATCCAGAATACATAAATTCATACAGACAGGATAAATCCAGACTGGTGAATTTAGAGTCAAATTGGTGGTTGCTAGGGGCTGGAAGGAGGGAGAAGGATAGAGACAAAGTGCCTACCAGGCAAGGGGTTTTACTTTGGGGTGAAGAAAATGTTTTGGAACTAGACAGAGGTGTTAGTTGCTCAATATTGTAAATGTACTAAATGCCACTAAATGTTCACCTTAAATGGTTAATTTTATGTTATGTGAATTTATCTCCAAAAATTATTAAAACACATACACAAACCATAAGTTAAATAAATTAAAGAACAAATAGGAGAGATACAACTAAGGTTAGGTGGTCATAAAATTTCCTAGGAAAGTAAGGCTCATGTTCTTTGTTATGACAGAATTTGTGATTTTTAAGACACAATAACCTGTGACTTTTATAAGCTCGTACCTCCTAAATCTGAAAACTGTGTAAAGATAAGGAATAGAAAGACTTGAAGCTGGCTACTATTATGTGATATTTGGAGTTTATGATTAGTGTAGTTGATGCTGTGGTGTGCCAAGAAGATCCTCCTTTATGATGAAAATATTCACTTCCCAGCTGCCATGCAAGTCGCCTGCTGATGATTCCATAATTACATTCCTCTCTTGAAATTTACCTTGGCTGGCTATGTGTGCTTCTTCACCCAAATTTACACCCCTTCTCAGGGGCACATTCAATCACTTGTCAGTGAAGGACTACAATAATACATTTTATACATGGCAGTGCTATGTTCTAGGGATAAATCAATGAACATGATGGTGATGATTTCTGTCCTCCGGACCCAGAGGTAGTTATATAAGTAATTAGAATAAAATATGTTAAGTGATGTGATAAGAGCACACACAAATGTGACTTAACTTGGTCTTGTGACAGGCTCAGGGAAGGCTTCCTAGAAAACATGTCTACCATGATTGCATATTTAGAAAACCCCACCATCTCAGCCCAAAATCTCCTTAAGCTGATAAGCAACTTCAGCAAAAGTCTCAGGATACAAAATCCATGTGCAAAAATCAAAAGCATTCCTATACACCAATAACAGAGAGCCAAATCATGAGTTAATTCCCATTCACAATTGCTACAAAGAGAATAAAATACTTAGGAATCCAACTTAGAAGGGATGTGAAGGACGTCTTCAAAGAGAAGTACAAACCACTGTTCAATGGAATAAAAGAGGACACGAACAAATGAAAGAACATTCCATGCTCATGGATAGGAAGAATCACTATTGTGAAAATGGCCATACTGCCCAAAGTAATTTATAGATTCAGTGCCATCCCCATCAAGTTACCAATGACTTTCTTCACAGAATTGGAAAAAACTACTTTAAAGTTCATATGGAACCAAAAGAGAGCCCACATTGCCAAGACAATCCTAAGCAAAAAGAACAAAGCTGGAGGCATCATGCTACCTGACTTCAAACTATACTACAAGGCTACAGTAACCAAAACAGCATGCTATTGGTACCAAAACAGAGAGATAGACCAATGGAACAGAACAGAGCCCTCAGAAATAACACTACACATCTACAACCATCTGATCTTTGACAAACCTGACAAAAACAAGAAACGGAGAAAGGATTCCCTATTTAATAAATGGTGTTGGGAAAACTGCCTAGCCACATGTAGAAAGCTGAAACTGGATCCCTTCCTTACACCTTATACAAAAATTATTTCAAGATGGATTAAAGACTTAAATGTTAGACCTAAAACCATAAAATCCCTAGAAGAAAACCTAGGCAATATCATTCAGGACATAGGCATGGGCAAGGACTTCATGTCTAAAACACCAAAAGCAATGGCAAAACAAGCCAACATTGACAAATGGGATCTAATTAAACTAAAGAGCTTCTGCACAGCAAAAGAAACTACCATCAGAGTGAACAGGCAACCTACAGAATGGAAGAAAATTTTTGCAATCTACCCATCTGACAAAGGGCTAATATCCAGATGTACAAAGAACAGAAACAAATTTACAAGAAAAAATCAAATAACTCTATCAAAAAGTGGGCAAAGGATATGAACAGACGCTTCTCAAAAGAAGACATTTATGCAGCCAACAGACACATGAAAAAATGCTCATCATCACTGACCATCAGAGAAATGCAAATCAAAACCACAATAAGATACCATCTCATACCAGTTAGAATGGCAATCATTAAAAAGTCAGGAAACAACAGGTGCTGGAGAGGATGTGGAGAAATAGGAACACTTTTACACTGTGGGTGGGAGTGTAAACTAGTTCAACCATTGTGGAAGACAGTGTGGCGATTCCTCAAGGATCTAGAACTAGAAATACCATTTGACCCACCAATCCCATTACTGGGTACATACCCAAAGGATTATAAATCATGCTGCTATAAAGACACATGCCCTCGTATGTTTACTGCAGCACTATCCACAATCGCAAAGACTTGGAACCAACCCAAATGTCCATCAATGACAGACTGGATTAAGAAAATGTGGCACATATACACCATGGAATACTATGCAGCCATAAAAAAGGATGTTCATGTCCTTTGTAGGGACATGGAAGAAGCTGGAAACCATCATTCTCAGCAAACTATCGCAAGAACAGAAAACCAAAGGAAAAGAAGTCATTATATGAAAAAGACACATGCACACACATGTTTATAGCAGCACAATTTGGAACTGCAAAGAGATGTAAACTATCTAAGTGCCAATCAACCAATGAGTGGATGAAGAAAATGTGGTATATATACACCATGGTCTACTACTCAGCCATAAAAAGGAATGATAATGTCTTTTGCAGGAACTTGGATGGAACTGGTGGCCATTATTCTAAGAGAGGTAACTCAGGAATGGAAAACCAAGTATCATATATTCTCACTTATAAGTAGGAGCTAAGCTATGAGAATGCAAAGTCCTAAGAATGATATAATGGACTTTGGGGATTTGGGGGTGGGGGTGGTGAGGAAGGGGAGTGAGGGATAAAAGACTACATATTGGGCTCAGTGTATACTAATCAGGTGATGGGTGTACCAAAATCCCAGAAATCACCCCTAAATAACTTATCCATGTACCCCAAAACTACCTGTACCCCAAAAACTGTTGAAATAAAAATAAATTTAAAAAATTATCTATGAACATAGTTACTTTTATTTAAAGTGGATGGAAAAAACCCTAGAGTCAGAAACTCTTGTTTTTCCCCCACACTCTAACTTAAACATAACTTTGCAGAGTATTCATTAATTTTTTCTTGTTATTATAAGCAAAAAGGAGAGGCTAAACTTCAACCAAACAATTGACCCCAAATACAACAGATTTTAAGAGAAAATGTGTATCCTTTAGCCTGAAGTAGATTCTTTCAACAAATAGTAAGCTTTTTTTTATGCTAACATAATCCTAAATTTGTAATAATTTCAGTGTGACACTGGTAGGACCAGCAGGTTTCCATGCAAAATCATCAGCTACAATTACAAAATATTTTTTATGTTTGTAATGAAAAGCAGAAGCAATACCAAAATACTTAGGTTGGTTGGACATGCTAAAGATTATATCACCAACTGTTCTGGCAATGAAGTATTAGAAAGAGTGGAAAATTTCTCAATCATTTCCTACCTGCTGGCCATATTCCACTCAAGGGCTGGATTTTGAGAATTCCTTTCAGTCTCTGTTAGCACCCCTCCTGAGACACTTTCCTTCTCTGGTTTTAGTTGATCCCATTGTGCAGTACCAATATTGATAGACTGCAGGTCTATTTGGTATTGTCTGTCTTCGATTTCTGATCCAGGATCTCGAAGAATTCCTAAGTTCAAGGCTCTCCTGTAAAGGCAGTGAAAAAAACAAAAACAAAAACAAGAAAACAGATAAAATAACCATTCTATATTTATTTTGTTCACTAACATATTGTCAATACCATTTTTTTCACTGTGGATTACTGATGAATAAACTGGGGCACATCTATGAAAAAGGTTTCAGAAAGTTAGCTCATATTATGACTTGAAAACATATCCAAAACTTATCACTTAGAGTAATCTATACTACAATGACTTCTTACGTTATTCCTGGCACGTTACTCTTTTTCTAAGTACTTTCACATACATGATTTCAATCCCTGAGATGCTCTGAGGTTCTATTTTATGTCCATTTTTACCAATGAAAAAATAATTCAGAGAGTTTGAAAGATAGCTAAAGTTACAAAACTAGTATGGGACAAAACTACAACACAAATACGAGGTTTTTTTTATTTTTTACTCAAAACGCTTTCCCTTGCTAATCATCTACTTTCCTCTGAACTTTGATTTCTTGTTAGGAAAGGTAATGGAGCCTTCTTAATCTATTTCACTCCCTCAACCCTTGCTCTTCATTCTTTATATAACCCAAATGTAGTGTTGAGAAATGACAAGGTTTCTGATGTAGAATAACAGTGAGGTTTACTGCCCCATATAGAGTTGGAACATACAACGTTGATCCTACTGGGTCCACTGCTAAGTAAATGAATAAAATAATCTGTAAAGCTAAATCAAAGGAAGTAAATAGATAAAAATTTTCATGAAGGTTTTAAAGTAAAATAGAAAGGCAGTAAGGTAGGATGGGAAGCACAAAGTTTGAGAGCCAGAGAAAACTTAAGTGTGCCTGAATTTGGGACCTTTTTCTTATGTTAAGTTTTGTTGGTTCAGAAAAGTTTTAAAGTAGATGATCAAAAGAAAAATAGTATTTGGTCCCCATAAAAGTTTTTATCAGCAGAAAAGCTGAAATAACAAAGTGAATAAAAATAGCCTTACTAGTAGAAATATTTTTTAAAGTTTCAATTACAGACATTAGAAAAAATACAATTAAGTTAATTACATCAGTTGAACGCTAATGAAACTTATTATTCGGAGGTGATGGGGGGAGTGTTGGGTCCTAGTGTGAAAAGTACAGAAAAAGGCACAATCTGATTCGGTTTTTGCTTTGGTTGACTAAGAAGGTGTGGAGGTCAGAATAAGCACTCCCAGAGGCTGGTTAAACGATAATGGACAGTGAATGACTACTCAGACTCAAGAGAGCAGGTGTCTGGGCCAGCTGCTCAGGACTGGGCCAGGCAAGGTGAGGGCTGATATTAATTAATTCAAGTGAAGAGAGAAGCAAGGAGCAGACATGAGTGGAATAAGCAAGCAGCTCAGGTAGTGAGACGTCACAGGGAGTTATGAATGGGGGAAAGGGGAACAAATAGCCAGTGATCAACAAGCCATAGCAGGAGCCAGAGTAACTGAGGATAATTCTCATGATTCCTAAGGTAGGAGCTGGATCTGTTTCTTCTCCTTTTTAACTTAGAAAAATTGCAGGAAAAGTGACCTAAAATTTTACACAAACTCAAGAACTGCATTAGAAACAGGGCTCATAAGTGGGCCATTAATCCTTTCAATTTGTCTTAAAGAGAAAAGGAATGAATGACAGTGGGGGTAGGAAGGAGAGGCATTTTGAGAGTCTCTCTGTAGAAGAATGTTCTAGTTTCATTTAAATATTGGTGTAATTCTGTTAATTCTTAAAAGGCCCAGCTCAGCTATCATTTTTTTTATGAAGCCTTTCCTGATCACCCTTCCTCCAAACTCCCTCCTTCCCAAATCTGTGTTCTTAGGGTCTCTCTATACTTGTAAATACAATAATACCACATTGACTTACCAGTCTTCCCAAATATGCCAAACATTTCTTGAAGTCAGGAACTATCTATACTATCCAGCAATAGGTAAATGCTGTTTCAATTCACTGATGTGAACTGACATAAATCTTTACAAATCTCAGGTGGAGAACGTATCTGTACATAGCAATAAGAGCACATAGTCTTTAAAACACTAAACTTTTGAATCAGGGCCACATAAATTCTGATCGCCAGCAAATATCTGAGGCAGTTGATGGCCTAACCTATTTCCCTAGATTATTACTCCCCATATAAACATTACTTTTACTTATTTTAAAACAGCCAATGCTCTGTACATTTTAAATAAACTCCCTAAACATATTTTTAAGGTGAACTAAAATACTTTAAGAATGCCTTTGAAGGAAAAAAAATGAAAACAAAATTAGTGCTATATTAAAAGACAAATCAACCAAATCCCAATGTAAACAACCGTTTTCCTATTTCTCTTGACACATGGAAAAACTGTAATAATTACAAGATTACAATCACAAAAACACCGAGTTTCATTAGAGTTTTCATTGCATTCAGGCTTGAAATTTCCTATTTTTTTGCGGGGGGAGGGGGGGCTTAAATTAAGCTATATTTCTCCTATCATCATTTGTTGACAACATGATTTCCCACAGGTTCTTCTTCCCTATGCAATACTTTCTATTTTGAGTGATAGCCAGATACTTCCAAAAATGTAATTTTCAAATTTAAAACTTTTAGGGATCAGGATTAGTACTTCTACATTTTTTCTTATTGCTTGCTTTTAAAATTAAGTTATATATTTGATATATTGACATATATGTGACATATTTGATTTGAAAAAATTCAGAGTAATTTATAATATTTGAGGATATAAATCCAACTTAAAAGTTAATTGCAAAACCTTCCAAATCTCAGCTGGGGAAAGTAGGATAAGCAGTTGATTTATGTGAGTTTTAGTCTCAGACTTTCCAATGATCATGAGCTTGCAGAAATTATTTAACTTCCCTGTGCTTTAGTTATTTTGGTATAAGAACTATTAAAAAGATAAATAAAATATATGTGTAATTGAAAAACTATTCATAAAGTACCTTATAAGTTTTATGACTATTATGGAAGTATATTATCTTATATGATTTTGAATGAACAGCATATTTAAATCACCAACTAATCACAAATGCACAAGTATCAAGATAAAACCAAATCCACTTCTCTATGAATGAACTGCAAAGAAAACGATACAGATAAATGTTCCTTAACATTCCTACTATCACCTATTTCTGAATATGGCATATTAGAAACTCTGAATGAACCTCCTAGCTCTAATAACCAAATTGCTTTAAAAAAAATTTAAAGTATTTTTTCAGACACATCCTGGAGCCAACACCAATAACAGAATAACAGAAACTGGAAAGTCTTCCAAATAATGTGAAACCAGGAACCATGATAAATAAGCACCTGCCAAAGCTGACTTTTACTCTACAGTTTTCTGCTAAATCCTGCAGACACTGATTTTCTGCTCTGTTAACTGCACAGGAGGAGAGGAAGTTCAGGGCTCACGCAAATGATCAATCTGTTTAATAGAAGACAATTCACATAAAGCTGAGATTACCAAGGGTCACCAGCAGTGAAAGGGTGAATTAGAAAGAGCACTTCTAGGGAGCTCTGTGGTGATAGGACAGTTCTGTATCTTGATTGTGATGGTGGTTACATGAATCTACATGTGAAAAAATTACATAGAGCACTATATACATTAACACAAATAAGTGCATGTAAAACTGGCAGAATCTGAATACAACTGTGTATTGATTGTACTGATGTCAACTTCCTGGTCTTGATATTGTACTATAGTTACACAAGACGTTTCTATTGAGAGAAACTGGGTAAAGTGCACACAGAACTTCTCCAAATATTTTTTGTAATTCTTTATGAGTCTATATTTCAAAATATATTTTTAAAGCAACAGTTCTCCTCATGCTCATGTAGAAACAGACAAGGCAATTTATCAACTTACCTGTCTTTACCTTACTAATGGGTAAAGAGGAAAACAAACAAACAAACAAACACAAAACCCAAACCAAAAAACAATGCTCCAAGATTTTGCAATCATGAGCTAGCACTTGGAAGTTTGGGTCTCAAATATGTGATGAACAAAAATTTCTGTCTGGAGAGTCTTGCTCCAGGTAGACAGTGCTGCCAGATGACAGGCAAAGGCAAAAGTAAAAGCACAATATCTTGGGATGAAATCAATTTCAACTCAAAGCTCTTCCACAGATCAGGTTCCAAGTGAAATGAGACACTTACAGACAAAATTCACAATTCACACAACAGCAGAAGCAATGGACAGACTAGCAAATATAAAATATAAAATAATTATTTAAAAAGTAAAAAAGCATCTTCAAAATATGAGCAGGGAACAAGACTTAACAAAAACAAAACCAAAAAAACTCAAGCTTGAGTGATAGTGAATAAAAAGAAAGATCCAATGAAATCCAGAATGTAATCCAAAGAGACAAGGAAATACTATAAATGAAAGAAGGTTAAGATTCATGAAGAATAGAGAGAGAAAGTCTAAAAAATGCTTAATTAAAGCTTGCAGGAGGTAATGCACAGAACAAGGAGGAGGCAATATTTGAAGAGATAATATCTGAGAATTATTCCACAATTATTGAAAATGCCAAGTCCTAAATCCAGGCAGCCCGAAGTATCCCAAGAAATAATCACTAGGAAGACATTGGTAAATATATGAGTAAGTCTAAACAAATATTATGTTTAAATTAATAATAATGATGTCTAAATTATGATGAGAAAATAGGCCAAAAATAAGACACAGGAAAATAATAGTATATAAATAACGGGACCAGATAATTTGACATAAAATGTTCTAACTTTCTTATATTGTTGAAGAAGAAGAATATTAACTTCAGACTTTTGTTAAGTACACATGTTAACATTGCTAGAGTAGCCACTAAAATAACAGATATGGAACACATAACTTCCAAATAAATAAAAATTAGAATGTCAGAAATGAAAAACCAAAGTTGGGCAAGTAAAAAGCACATAAGAAGAAGATACAAATAAAAATCCCAACATAATAATCAACATAAATATAGATAATGTAAACTCTCCCATTAAAAGATAAAAACTGTCAGATGGCATTTAATAAATCACAGTTAATATTCTGTTTTTTATGAGACACACCTAAAACTTCAGGGCACAGAAAGAGTCAACAAATGGAAAAATATATACTAGGCAAACATTTGACAAAAAACTTAAGTAGTTATATTTACATTATATTATACAAGATATACTTAACTCTATTTAAAAACAGAGTTACTGCCTGAAGACAAAAGATTCAGTACATTTGGAGGTTTAGACAATTCTAAATTTATTTGTAAAAAGAGCCTCAAAACATATGAAAGAAAAACTTATAGCTCTACAAGGAGAAACTGACAAATCTGTCATCGATGGTGGAATACTTTAACCCTCTAAGCAGATAAGAAAAAAAATACAGAAAAATTGAAAAACATAGTATGTGTGATGAGGTGAACATTTACAGAACACAGTATCTGACAACTGGAGAATACATATTTTTCTCAAGCACACAGGAACATTTAAAATCCAACCACCTGCTAGGCCATTAAGCTAGCCCCAGTACATTTCAGTGAATTAGTATCATATAGACTGTATCCTCTGAGCACAATACAATTCAGTTAGATATTTTATTAAAGAAGAGAATTCACAAAATTGCCTATGTTTAGAAATTTTAAAACACACTTCTAAATTAGTCATCCACTGGTCCAAAAAATCATAATAAAAGTTAATACTTAAAAGCAAATGTTATGCATTAAACATTGTAGGATGTAGTTCAAGTGGCACTTACAGGAAAATTTATTGTCTAAAATACTAGTTTTAGCAAATAAAAAAGGCTCGATAAGCTGAACATAAAAAGTAGAATAAACTAAAAGAAAGAGGGAAGGATATAGAGCACAATAAAAAAGAGAAGATGAACAAAGCCAAAAATAAACAAATTTCTAGCATTAAAGGGGAAAAAAGATAAGGATAGAAGGCAAAATAAACTATATTTGCAAGAAAAAAGGAAACATAACTAGGATGTTGTGAAGATTAAATAGATAGTTAAATGAATAGGAAGATTTATAGAGACAAAGATTTTATGACTTACTATGGGGGGAAAAAAAAAAATCTCCTAGTCGTCACTGTCCCTAGAAGATATTTCTATTAATATAGTGTCCTCTAATTTCTTCTACAAAATACAACATTACTTCTTCTACAGCTCTTTTTCTACATGAAAATGACTCTATTTTAAAACCATATTGTGACAAAATAAAACTGCTAGTAAAGTAGTAAGTGGTAGAAAGCAACCAGGTTCTTCCCTACTCATAGCCTTAGTCAGGACTGTCAAAACTATATTCTCCTACCAAAACAGCCCTTCCTCCAGTGACCTGACTTGCATTATCTGTTCAACAGATATTTACTGGGCACTGTATGTTAGGTATTGTGATAGGCCCTAAGAATAATAGGTCCCTGGATGGTCCTTGCCCTCATAACACTTACAGTCTAATAGGGGATTTAGAGGCAATTATACAACACTTAATACTCCAAAAGGTTAC